GTCTATAGAAGTAATAATTGATGGCCAAGGATTTATTAATAATAAAAAAGTTATATAAATAAATTTTTTAAACACCGACTGCTTAAATATATAAACACCGCCTGCGATGGTAAAATTGCACGAATTACACTTCGAATTGCTTCCTCATCCACCGTATAGTCCAGATCTGACCCCCAACGACTACTGGCTATTCACTGATCTCAAAAAATGCTAGCCGGTAAAAAATTCATAGCAAATGAAGAAGTAATTGCTGAAACTGAAGCCTATTTTGAGGTAAAAGACAAATGGTTCTACAAGCACGGCATCGAGAAGTTAGAGAAGCGTTGGAATGATTGTATCGTAGGAAGGTATTGAAGGAGATTATATTGATGAGTAAAATCGATTTTTGGCAGAAAAAATTTGTTTTTCTTAGTTAGTAAGACGACTGAGTGAAGTGTTAATATTCTATAAGAAGCGACCAATCTGTCAGAATAAAATTCTACTACAACTTCGTCACATACACTATCAGTATTATTTATTATTGCATCACCATTATCCAAAACCAGAAATTTTGAATTTTGTTTCGTTTTGAGTTTCCAAGTGCTTTTATAGGGATATCAATTCATTTAATTTATTTTATTAAAAATCTTGTTTAAATCATAATTAATTTTATACTTACGTATTATTGTGCTGGCTGTTTGATTTTATTATGGAAACTAAGTTTTCCAATTCGCCACACTTTTCAATAAATTAGAAATGTACTGTTTTAAAAAACGTGTGAGGTTTGAAGGCATATTTAAACTTCATGCACCATTTTTTGGGAACAGGCCAAAAATCAAATCAACAGGCTAATTGAAAAAATCAGCTGTTTGAAATGAGAACAAACGAATTACAACGAATGTAAACACTTCCAAAGGGCTAATTCTAAATGAGCCGTTTTCAGCCAATGTAAACGCCATTTTAAGTTCTTACGGTACATACCGTCTGAGTCTTAATACTATACTCTAAATGCAACTAATTATATTCTTCTTCTTCTTCTTCTTGAGTTAGTGCTATTACGCACTTTTACTCTATAATGGCTGGGGGGCTTATCTCTACCCCACACTAGGCTTTAACTAGGCTAAAAAAAAATCATATCATTTATATGTCTTTTAGTTGATGACGGACCTTAAACCAGCATATCTTCCTAAGAGTCCAGAAGTGGACTTGACCATTGTTAGGGCGGGGTTAATTACCGTATCAACTTTAGTGAATAATTTTAGAGCTCTGTCTCTGATATATTTTTTTTACTGAATCAATCCTAAGATCTCTATGTATGTCTGTTGATCTAATATACCATGGAATCATAAACAGTTTTCTTAAAGCCAGGTTTTGAGCTATCTGTAATTGCTTTAAGGTAGTATTTGAGGCTTTGCAATATGTAACACATCCGTACAGTAGTGCAGGTCTAATTACTTGCTTATAAAGTAACTTTCTGTTTTTAAAGTTGAAGTTATAATTATTAAATAGCGGCTTTAATAAATGTAGAATCTTAGAGCAGCTATTCCGTTTGTATTTCAAATGATTAAGCCAATTGAACCGTTTGTCAAAAGTGACCCCCAGATATTTTATGTTATCCTCCCACTGTATCTCCGTGTCGCAAACACTCACTCTTGGAGGATGCTGTCTTCTTTTTCGAGTTATAAATATAGCCTTGGTTTTGTCATTATTAATTTTAATCTTCCATTTCTGGAAGTATTCCACCATAAGGTCTATATTTCCCTGTAAAGTGTTGCTTACATTTATGGTATCCCGATCCGAATAGATCAAGCAATATATATTACAATATAAAGTAATTTGTAAATATATGAAAGGAATTAAATTTATTGATTTTAAAAATATTTCTATACAAAAAATGGTGTTAATTATAATATAAAGTAATTCGTTAGTAACTATGTTTGAAATATATTGTTTAACTTCAAAGCGCCAATTAAATAATGCAACAGTTCTTTGCGCGAAACCAAATCGAAAACATAGAAATAATTCTATGTTCTTACGTCAAAATGACAGCACTACTTAAACCACTAATCAAAGAAAAACAATACCTTTTAATGTAAAAAAACTATAGCTTTATAAAAATTTAGCACTCTTAAATAATGGGAAAACATGAACGTAGTGGCAAGTAGAAGTTTTAGTTATTTTATGTAAAAATGCTAACAGCTTTCTGTTTTAATAGACATTGGCGATAATAAGCGCAGCAAAAGACATAAGCGGCATAAACATAACAAGGAGCAAAACATAAAATCTGAGCAAATGGAGATCGTCAACGATGAAATAATGGAAAACGAAGACAAGAAAGAACTTACGCACAATGAGGACGATGCTCAAATTGATGTGGGCGAAGAGGATTTATGTAATGTAACATTGCCACAAGCTAATATCACGCCTCCAAGAGCAAACACTAACAAAAGTAAAAAGACCACTCCTAAAAGTATTTCATCCACAAGCAGCGCAACAGGGACTCCTAGTAGCATAGCAAATAGTGCTAATTCTAAAAAGGCGAAAAAGAGACGCGACAGTGGTACCTCGAGTGGTGAAGAACGTTGGCTAACTGCAATTGAAAAAGGAAAACTGGAGGATGTGGATGATGAATTGAAAAAAATCAAAGATCCCAAGTTAATGACTGCACGTCAACGCGCTATGTACGAAAGAAATTTGGATAAGGAACCCTCTCCGGGTGGCGAAATGCTAATGTCATTACCAACAGGTTATCGCGAAAAGGAAAAACCACAAACTGCAGAAGATATACTAAAGGCTGTGCTCAAATCACAAAAACGCAAACAACTAGCGGATGAGAAACGTGAAAAGGATAAAAAGAAAACCATGGAACGTTTGTTAAAAAAACAAGACAGCACAAAACCACGCAGTGGAGGCCGTAGCAAAATTCTTAAAACAGCGCAGCCAATGATAAGCTATAGAAGCACTTTGAGTGGTGCCTACATACACTTGCCACCAGACCATGAATTTCCTTTAGCACCGCAAAAATCAGAGAGCCCGCCAAAAGTGATTATGTGTGCAATTGAAGGTTGTGGCCAGCCCAAAGTGTATAACTGCTCAAAGACAAATCTGCCATTATGCAGTTTCGCTTGCTATAGAAAAAATGTCCAAGCGCTGCGACAAATCATGTGTTAAAAATGGGTTTCTAGTGCTTTATTGGCTTGCTATTTGTACGTGTACAGTTTATTGATTAAGCAAAAAATTGTTGATGGTTTCCTGTTGCTCGGCCTCGATTCGCTGCAAATATTGATATTCGCTTTTCAAACGATCCAGTTCGGTGTTCTTCTCATGTATTTTGCTCTGTAAAATGAGAAGGATTCATATATGCAACAATCTTTATTTATTTATTTTTATTTGCCTGATAAACTTGCTGTTCCGCCTGGCGTTGTTGTGCTATGGTCTTAAGAATATTTTGTGTGCCTATTGCACGTAACTTTTCTCTTTCCACATCCTTGGATATTTTAGAAACTATTTTATGGAAGTCTGCTGCCAATTTTTTGAACTCTTGTAGTTTGTTTGCATATTCCAGACATTCTTCACGTAACTCGTTGGTCTCAGTAGCAATGCGAGGATCCTGCACGCGTAACCGATATATATCGTCTATATAAAGTCCTGCTTTTTGAAGTTCCTCCGACATAGTTTAGAAGTCAGTGCAACTACTAAGAAATATGCTTCCCTAGATATGAGCTATTGTATTGGTAAACGTTTGGAACAAAAGCATCGTCATAGCAACGTTAAACCAAACAAGAATTTTTATTCGTAATCTTTCATTTTAATGTAACTTAAGTACTTCAAAATTAGTATAAGAATAAATAATGTTTACATCCATATTGTTCAAATAAATATTTGAAAATATTTAATTTAATTTATTTAGAGTAAACACAAGTTATCATAGTACTGTAAATTTATTCTTGAGAATAGTAAAGAATATTTTAAGTAATATATGAAATGACAATGCAGATCCACTGAAGAAACAGTGAAGGAAAATCTTTAAATTGTAGATGAGTGTGTGTTTACTGTTATTCATTTACTACTACTATTATTTTGCTAATCCTGAAAAGGAACTACCACTTTCCGAATCTAATAGCTTTTAAGATCACATCAAGCGAACCATCGGATGATTCAATATTCTAACCACCATCATAAATTTATGTATTATGTTGAGGCTGAGTCATTGCACTTGAGCAATTTTACTCTCTATTAACTATGAGGTTTCTTCATAACTCCTCTCTACGCCTTGACTGGATTATTGTTTATCACTTCATCAGACTAAGCAATATTTAACCTCAGATCTGCATACCTCCCCGAGAAGCCTGTAACCATTCTGAGATTCGATAACGCAGTGTTGGTAAGCCTATCAGTTTTCGTACATAATTTCAGGACTCTATCCTTTATGTATTTTTTAATCGGATCAATCAATGATAGTACCTTGAAAAGTCTTCTCAGAGCCTGACTTTGTGCAATTTCTAGCTGGTGAATAGTTGTTTCGTTGAGGCCTTGGTAAACGCTACACATCCATATAGAAGTAACGATCGAATTATAACAGTTCCTGCTCTTAGCATTGATCACAAATTAAGGCAATCATATCCATGTCATCGGGTGGTTGAATTTTATAATTTAGATGCGCAAATAAACTTGTCCACTATAATTAAAAGGAATTATTAAAATAACAAGAGAACACAAATTTTAAAATAATTTTTATATTAACGTCATACATGATTAAACAGGAAATTTAGTTTTTAGGAAAGCCATTATAATCAACACATAATGACATAACGACACAGTATTTTTTTTTAAATTAATACTTTTTAAATAATACATATTTGATGTATATCATTATTAATTTAATCCCTAAAATTTATATCTAACATTGAAGACATAAAATAATTTAATTTTTGAACGTCTAGATGAAACATGTATAAACTGAAAATTATAAGTGTAAAAATGTTAAAACTTTAAATTACAACAAATCAGTTTTTCAGATTTTTAATTTCAATTCATTTAAAATTACAATTTTTCATATTTACAAATTTCTGACCATCTTAGTGATTGTCCAAATATTAAAATATTTAAATTGCAAATATATTTAAATAAACGACTCTTGACTATGTTTACAGACAATTTTTAATACTACGGAAATTATTTAACAATTTAGGACTTAAATAAATGTATAACAGCACAATTAAAAAAATAATCCTTTAAGAGTAACGGAGCAAGTAATTGCTTGACAGTGATTAATGACCCTTAAAGCGTCTGTATGCTTTTCGAAAGTAATTTTATTTTGTATATTGCAATTGTTTTAGCACTTCGAACGATTGGCTATATTTTTCAGTATATTGAGGTTCTTTGGCAATTATGTTTTATCGCCGGTACTATCCCTCCAAAGCTAGGACAGCATCACGCGTGGTCATCCCACATACTTGTGTACATGTCAAATAGGGTTGTTGCGTTTATTTGAGCGTAAACGTGCTAGTCCCGTACGTTCCTCCTCTTCGTCACTGGTATACTGTTGCATACCAGACCCAGCACAACCACCACGTACCGATGATGTGGCTTGTAACAATTCCTGATCCGGCGCATTACGGTTTTCATAAAGCAGCACTTGCAATGTTTCTTCATAGATTCGTGCTTCTGGAAATTCTACCTTAGTATGCTTACGGTCAGTGGCATATACAATAGAAGTACAACACACTTCAGCCACTTTTTTGCCATGACCATAGAATGACCAGCAACATATTTCGCTAGGACCTATTACATCTTTAATGAATAAAATACGTTCGTTGAAACGCAATGAGAGTTTGTCGAATAATTCAATATTTTTCAGTAGATTGTCATCTGATGCACTTGTGTAAGAATACTTGTTATTTTGCCGTTGCACCACTAAAATAACCGCGGGTTTTGATGATGAACTGATAAGCATTTGTTCCTCCTTTTGGGATGTTATCAATGGTATGCGACAGATTGGTTTAGGTTCCTGATTAGCTAGTAACGCGCGTTCACATGACATGGCCAATTCTGTGATGCAGTAATATTTGGCCTCAGCCAGAAGCTCCGCGATTTCTTTATGCGACTCCGGCAGTGGCACAGTGCCATCACGTAAGTAATTGAGTATTGTACCGAAATGATTACCGCAACGGTCAATCAAAATCCAACCTATAAAAAATTTGAATGTATTCAATTTGTATTCACTATTGTGTAATATGATATAATATAAATAATGTACAGTCGATGCAATATGCTCTGCTGGTTTCGTATTTCGCGCTGCCTTCGCTTACGCGTTATAAACAGCGCCCAATTAGTCATACATTATCAGCCTCTGGCACTTATCACTTTGATTTTTTAGCCTTAATTTTTATTACTCACCCTCTGTATCGGTTAAAACTTCCATTCGTCCACTGAACATAGCACTCAACATGGTGTCATTATGCTTCGTAAGTGTTCCAATGGTCGTGTAATAGAGCCTACCGCCTACGTTCAGTTTTACATATTGTGATGGATGGCCTTTTAGCATTGTTTGATTACCGGACATTTTATTACTATTTGCAACTAAAACTAATTGATCTGGAGCGGTCGTTAACTGCACTATTTTAACTTCCTTAGCAACTGCGCCAGTACCAGGGGTGGAGCTGGCACTGCTCGTACTAGCAACTATTAAGGAATCAATTTTGGCGTTTTTTTTAAATAAATATCTTAATTTTATTTTTTATTAATTAACTTTTCTCTACTTATCAGTATCTATTCAGACCGTGCTGTGTATATCGGTGGTTAATTATTTTTCCAGCAGCTCGCAGTTTGTGCACAGAACAAAATATATTGAAAAACAAGAACCGTCAAGTAATTAAGCAGCCCATCGAACCGATATAAACTGTAACTTATCAATAGCCAGTGATTTATTCTGGCTATGCAGTGCATCGATGTGAAGTACAGAGTTAAAGCTGGTGGGAAATTGTTTAAACACGTTTAAAAATTATTTTTTTAACATTATTGGATATATATTAATATTTAAACAAAAAGAATGTGGTACGCATATTATTATCAATGACTTTTTAAAAATATTTATTTTGTTGAATAGTGAAAACGCTATGTTATACAGACAGTTATGTGATTAATGATCATGGCAATTTTGTACTTTTTTTAGTCATTATCCAAATGCATATTATCCAAATATTTTGATCACTTTTGGTTGTGCCTAAATTTAAAAAATAATGATTATTGTTTGGATAAGTTAACCATGTTTTCATTATGGATTTTGCAAATCCTGTTACCAAAGCTTTATCATTTCAAAATAGACATAATAAAATTCGAACTTTAAATGAAGGTTGGTTTGATTTGACATATTTTCTTGAGTACAATGCTGAAAATAATATGTTATTGATAAGGTTTAGGTGCAAAAATAGCGATATGACAGATTTTTAAAATGATATTTTGATAGTGCCAACTTTGTTCCAACCGTTTTTTTTTTCCTTTCAGAATTGTAAAAAAGTAATATTAAGTCTGGTTGATCAAATGATTTTTTTAACAAATATTTATTGCGTTGTGTATAATATGAAAAATAAAAATTCTGAACACTAAAAATTAATTAACTTAAATAAAAGTATTATATTCTTTATATATAATACAATACAATTTAATATTAATAATAATAATAATTACGGCACGGCACGCTTACTCCTTTGAGCACAACGACGAAACACACATTTTGTATTTTTTCCTTTTTTATCTATTTCTTTATACAGGGTTGCCATGATCGAATATACTACAGAATTCATTGTATCGAAATATGGTATTACAAATTACGCCAAATGATAAAGATAAAGTCTCTTGAAACAATTAGCACAACAAACTTATATCTTCGTTTCAGTGAAATTTAGTTGTTTTTCCAATACACAATTCAATTTTGGGATTAAAACGAAATTAAGGAAAATGTCCTGAAATTAAGAAACATTTCAAATGCAATTATTTGTAAGATACATTTTTAGCTAAAGATAAAGTTAAGATAAAGGAAAATGGACATTTTTTTATATAAATGTTAATGAAAGTTGACTTTCATGAAACCGGGAAATTATTTTGAAAGTAAATTTCAAATTTGAATATAGAGAAAAAACTTTACCGGTTATTAATTTAAAATAGAGTGAAAAATATTAATTCACATACCTAAAGTCCATTAAAACTATTTAATGCTATGCTTTATAGTTATTATAATCAACTTTTAAAATTTCCTGGATACAAATGATGTTTAGAGCATGTAATTTTTATCATTCGATTTGTAAATAAAAAATACATGATTTCCTTAATTTGGTGCAGCATGAACACTTTCGAAATTAACTTAATTTCATTTTTACGAAATTAAGGAAATTTGGCTGTCTGAACATAGCAGTAGAGTGCGTTTAATACTGCTTGAAAGTGTAAGCAGCGCATAAGTAGAGTAAATATAAACATAACAAGAAAAACAAACCGCAGAAACATATGAGTTAGGCGCGCTGTTGCATTTCATATGAATTGTGAACTAAAATTCATTTTGTGGAATAAATATCAAGAATAAAATATATATATTCATGACCAAACACAATGTTTAGCGATATTTCTTTACTCATTTTAAGTGAATTCAGCGACGACGAAAGTGATGAAGAAAATTTATTGGATTCGTCTACGGATTTAGGCTCATCTTCAGAAGAAGATGAATATCTGGAAAATTTGCTTTGCGATTCGTACAGCTTTAGGCGACATCATGCTGAAAACATCACAAGGGGTGGAATACCTACATACACAAATAAAGAATTCCAAATTCATTTTCGTGTGAACAGAAATGTGTACAATTTTCTAATAGAAAAATTTAAAGACTCTGAGGATTACAGAAGTCTAAGGATGGATAAAGTGATCTCAGCGGATACACATATTGCGTTGTTTTTGTGGTTTGCGGGTCATAGAGAATGTTCCTTCCGAGATATTGCCAATCGTTTCCATATATCTATCAGTACAGTTAGTGCCATAATAAGTAGAGTTACTCACTTCATTAGCAGTCTCTCGGACGCAGTAATAAAATGGCCAAATTGTACCGAAAAATTAGCCTCATCTGCTTTTTTTGCTGCACAACATATTGGTGGAAGTTTCGAGGAAGCTATAGGTTAATTATTTTTACTTTAGTAATTAAATAATATACAATATATATATAATTTATTTTTAGGTGTATTGGGTATGACTCACATACGAATTATTCCTCCTAAAAGTGATAAAAACCAGTACATTAATTGGAAAGGCGAAAGCACTATACAAGTGCTAGGAATTTGTAATGAAAGAAATGACTTTATTTACATTTTTGCGGGACTTCCTGGTGCTGTTCATGTGCATGAAGTGCTTGAAAGATCTGATATATATCCAAAACTGTCATCGCTCTGTGGTGATTATTATATATTAGCTAACTCTTCATTTGCTTGTACAGAAAATATCATAACTCCATACATCGACAATGAGCAATTGGGTGCACGTCAAAAGAAATTTAACGATAAATTGAACTCTTCTCGCATCATCATCGAACATGCCTTCACTATGCTTAAACGAAGATTTCCACAATTATACTTCTGCAAACTAAAGGGAGTAGAAAAAGTATGCCATTTCGTAAAAGCCTGTGTTGTTCTTCACAATCTCTGTGACGACAATTTTATTAGAGTTGGAAGTGACTTTAAAGTGACTGATATAA